AGCTCAAAGACTATGTATAAGAAATGAGTTTGAAAGTTCAACATGCTTGATTTCCAGTCCTCTAAATTTACTGCTCCAGGCAACACTGCTCCTGTCAATTTTCAGGTGACAAATTCTCTCTCAGAGACCCAGCGGTTCCTTCATTCACTTATTATTTAGACAACACAATATGACCTCAGTTTGAGTAGGGCTGATCCTTATAATGTAAGAAAATCAAAAAGATCAAAGCTGCACATGACGTGGCTGCAGGAGGTTATTTTGGTGAAGCTCTGCTTCAAGGATTATTCAGATATTTCATTTCAAACAGCAATCGCTATTCACCCAGCACACATATGCACAGCATAATTTTCAAAAGTCAAAGAAATTTATTATTACACTTCCACATTGTTCCACATATTCTTGATAATAAAATTATTTCAGGTTCTTTTAAAGAAATTGTACATTAAAGGAGCTGAACGCTGCAGCCACAGCTCCTTGTGAAACAAACATCAACTTCGTGTTGCTTCAGGTCCTACTAATGCTGTATGAGGGAAGCACTTTAACAAAGAGGAATAAAGAAATGAGTCCAGGCTTAAAAATGAGACATCAAAAGAAGGTTTAGCATGAGACAGAAACAGCTACTTTTACATCTTATGATAACCGGGGTTAGAATAACGTCCTTTTTTCTTATAGAAAAGAAGGGACTGTGACATTCCCAAAGTGAGAATTCAGCACTACTTCCGAAAATCTCTTCAAAAAAAGTAATGGCATTCACTTTCAGATCTTTTTTTTTTTTTTTTTCTTTCTTTCTCTTTTTTCCACTCTCCCTTCTATAACTCAAAGGGCACTTCCTCTCCACTTGGCTCATTTCCACTGTCTGTGTCAGCTCGCTCCATCTAGGATTTCGTACCGCCCAGGTATCTCAGTGCTTCAGGCCTGTAGTATTTATCCTATTTATAGACCTAAACCTGCAATTTATTGCACCCGGGCAGACCGCTGCCCCTACACAGACTCCCACAGCCATCAGGAGCCCTTTCCGCCTGTACGAATGGCCGCTCTGCTGGAGCTCAAAGGTGGCTTTCAGCTGGGCAAGGTCACGAGCATCCCCCCTTCCCCTGCCTCTCTCCTACATTTCCCGTGGCGCTCGCTGTACTCCAGTGCCGCACAACACCGCAGCAAACGAAGCAATCCCTATCTGGAAAACTTCAATGTCTAAAAGTAGGTGTTTCCACCTTCCTGTGCACTTCAGGACATGTTCTAGGGCCCTGACCCATCTCTGTCTCTCATCCTCCACAATACCACAAGAGCGGAGAGGGAGTCCAGGGCTCAGCAGATAAAAGGGGGCATAAAGCCACGTCTCCACAAACGTGGGCTCTCGGCAGCTCTGCTGCAGCTCCTCTCTGCTGGAGGATTTCTGCATTGGCCCTGCTATAACTGTTCTATCCTCCCCACAACCCTCTCGGTACCCTTCACTGCAGGTTTGCAGCAGGCTGGTTGACGTGGGGACGGGTGCCCATCATTCATCTCGGCACCAGCTGCCGGTTACTTTAAAAGCTGCCACACACCTGCAAATACGCAACTGTGACTGATTCTCAGACAAACATTTACCTTGGCACGCGCGGTGCAGAAGGCATCACCGTGCTCACCTCTGTCTCTGTAAGTAATTTGCATCCCTAACCATTAGCAAATATTACAAATTGCACACCTGGAGCTGTTACAGACTCTAAGTGGTTCAAACCTATGCTTCCTTCTTCCCTGTTAAAGACAGCTACATAATACCTCCGCCGCACTGTATGCAACCTTTAACATAAGGCACGCAACACAAATGAAAGGAAAGACAGCAATTTAGGTAAAAGAAAAAAAAAAAAAAAGCAGTTGAGTTTTAATAAATACCTACAGCAGCAGCACAATTAGTGGCTCACCTAAAGCCTGCACTGAGTTTGGTGGGAGCTGAGACAGCTGTCCCTGGGATTAGGCCACTATTCCCTTGCCCTGTGTCTTTGGGAACAGTGGTGGAGCAGGCCCCTGTTTGTAGAATCATAGAATGGTTAGAGGTGGAAGGGACCTTGAAGATCACCTAGTTCCACCCCCCTGCCATGGGCAGGGACACCTCCCACTAGACGAGTTGGCTAAAAGCCCCATCCAGCCTGGCCTTGAACCCCTCCAGGGATGAGGCAGCCACAGCTTCTCTGGGCAACCTGTTCCAGTGCCTTACCACCCTCAGGGTAAAGAATTTCTTCCTAATATCTAACCTAAATCTCCTCTCTTTCAGTTCAAAACCATTACCCCTCATCCTATCACCACACTCCCTGATAAAGAGTCCCTCCCCATCTTTACTGTAGCCCCTTTAGGTACTGGAAGGGGCTATAGGGTCTCCCCAGAGCCTTCTCTCTCCAGGCTGAACAGCCCCAATTCTCTCAGCCTGTCCTCATAGGAAAGGTCCTCCAGCCCCATTCCACAAGACCTCTTTCCAGCAGAGCCATTCACAGGGGTCAACTGGATTAAAAAAAAAAAAAAAAAAAAAAAAAAATTCAACTGTTTCATTTAACTGCTTGTTTCGGGTTGACAGAGTCCAGCATCCCCATTTACAGGTGGCACAGAGGTCTCCGTCAGGACAACCGATAGCAATCCACTTGCCCTGCCATCACCTGCCACTTATTTAGCAGCGTTTCACATCCCAATGTCTTCTACTGTAGATTTGTACCTGTGTGCAGAGACTGTGATCCCTAGCACCCTGCCGTAAACATTGCGCGCATCTTCCCTGCTTGTCCTCTCAAAGTGCAATCCCAAGAAGAGTGACGAAGGGAAGCTTTACCAGCTTTGTGACAGCATTGCACATGTCACATTGAGCTGTTTTTGTGCAGTCACCCTGGAATGCACCGAACCAGCCAGGCTGTGGGGCTTGCCCCTGGTCCAGCATCCCCACTAGCAGCACAGTTAACCTCAGCAGCTCTCCAAGGGTGACCTGGAGAACAGAGCAGCTCTCCCCCAAGATGGGGGGAA